TTCTTTCTTTCTTTCTTTCTTTCTTTCTTTCTTTCTTTCTTTCTTTCAGATTTCTGAGTGATTGTGGCTTTGTCTGAAGAGTTAGAGTCTGACAGGATTATGGCCTGTTGATTTTCTAGCCACTGTGGACTCTGCCCTGACATATAGAACTAACACCAACTATTGCTGTCTACTAAATGGAAAGTACTTGAAAATTGGAGAGCTAAAGGGTGAATAAAGATCAAAGTGGAAAAAAAAGTCTCTCTATTGGGAGCAGAACCATCCCTCAGAATTCTTTACTTTTTCAATTTCTTTTTTATATATGTTTATTTTTTTATTAATTACACTTTATTCACTTTGTATCCCCCCACAAGCCCCTCCCTCCTCCCTTCCAGGTCCCACCCTCCATTCCCCTTCTTCACACATGCCCCTCCCCAAGTCCACTGATAGGGGAGGTCCTCCTCTCCTTCCTTCTGACCTTAGTCTATTAGATCACATCAGGAGTGGCTGCATTGTCATCTTCTGTGGCCAAATAAGGCTGCTCCCCCCTCAGGGGAAGTGATCAAAGAGCAGGCTAGTCAGATTTTATGTTAAAGGCAGTCCCTGTTCCCATTACTATGTAACCCACTTGGACACTAAACTGCCATGGGTTACATTTGTGCAGGGGTTCTAGATTATCTCCATGTCTGGTATTTGGTTGGAAGATGAGTCTCTGGGAAGACCCCTGTGTTCAAATTTTCTGATTCTGTTGCTCTCCTTGTGGGGTTCCTGTTCTCTAGATCTTACTATTTACCACTTCTTACATAAGATTCCATGCACACTGCCCAACAGATGGCCATAAGTATCAGCATCTGCCTTAATAGTCTGCAGGGCAGAGCCTTTCAGAGGCCCTCTGTGGTAGGTTCCTAGGTTGTTTCCTGTTTTCTTCTTCTGATGTCCATCCTCTTTGCCTTTCAGGATGGGGATTGAGTTTTAGTCAGAGTCCTCTCTCTTGATTAGTTTCTAAAATCAAAACCCTTGGAACCCTTTATTCTTCCTCTTCCTTTTTGCTTTGAGATGTATATCTTTTTAAAAGCTGTTTTTGTCTTGTTGAGGTGTTCTAGCCTCTCCTTGCAGTGTAAACATCAAGGAAGGTCAGGCCCTTGCTTTCTGGACCTAACCTGGGGGCCTAACTCAGGTTGAAGCCCAACTGCATAGGTTTGTCCTACTGTCACAGACCTTTTCTTGCCCTAAGAATGAAGCCCAACTGCATAGGTTTGTCCTACTGTCACAGACCTTTTCTTGCCCTAAGAACCTGAGAAGCATATTTCCCCTAGATAAAGGCAACTAGCAGACACAGCTGGTCCCTACCAAGTTCAGAATAAAGGACAGAGACACAGATAAAAGATGCTGCCACATCCTCTTGAGGAAGAACTGGGCTTTTTATTAGACTTAGTGGCCTAGGCTGGCTTCTAACTCACAACAATCCTGCTGCTTCAGCCCCCTGACAAACTGAGATAAGAATAAGCCACCTCACTCAACTTGAGTTACATCTCTTGAAAAGGCTTGCAGAGGGCTGTATCCATCTGCATTAAACTAGCCCTTCCTCTCCCCACCCCCTCCCCCGCCTCTGTTTTCCTCTCCCTCCCCCCACTTCCTGCTCAGTCTCTTAGTGTGTCACTTGCCTAGACCCCTTGAAATCAATAGTGTTAAAAACTTAAGGCCAAGGATACTTTCCCGCCAACAGAAAGCCTTATGGGCAAATTCCCTGAGATGAGATTTGCCTTACAGAAGACAGCACTGTGTTTTATGGTCAAGGCTCACTGCTTCACAGGCACAATCAGATGAAGAAATACTGCCTGCTCCCAGCCCATCTGGACATCTCATAGGCGAGAAGCTACAAAATGACCACCTATGGCTCTCTCACATAGCTGGAACAGGCCAGCCAGCAGCCAGTCTTGTGTCTGAGCTCAGCTGTCCTGTGAGAGAGGGTGGCCCATGACTCTGGAGCTAGCAGAGACTGTAACATGGGGACCAGGGGCTTGGGAAATTACAGACACTCATCTTGAGTGCTGATAGGGGAATCTGGGGACCAGCACTTTCCAGCCACAAAAGGGCTTTCTTGAACCCCAGTTAAAAACACTGTCCCCTGTTTTCAGGCATCTGGCTCACAGTACTGTGCACACAAACCTTCTTGAAGGGGAAATGAGTGCAGGGCTGTTTTCCACAGGAAGTGGCCATCTACTAAGGTCGTTCTGCTGGCTTCTGGCGGATGTTTCCACCTACCCGAGGGGACACAGTCTGCGTGGCAGTGGTGTGTGCTGCTTCACTGTGGATTTTCTTCTTCTCCTGCTTCTGGACTCTGGATTCACGGCACTGCAAGTAGCTGTTCTGTGAGAACATCGCTCAGCTGGCACAGGTCCTCCACCTGGCTGCAAGGCACCCATGCTGGTGACTGGAGGCTGAGCACCCTCTGGCTTGGGGAAGAAGGAATCCTCGACAGTGCAGACTGCCACTTGGAGGCCTGGAGGACCACCAGGGAGCTGCTCTGCTCCTCTCTGGCAGGCACTCAGGTAAGCTCTGGGACTTTGGGTTCCCCAGACAGAGAAAGAGCAGTGAAGTAAGTGTCAGCGACAGCACATGGTGGGAAATTTCCCTGCCATCATCCCTTGGCCCCTAGGGATGCTGGGGCTTTCCATCCCATCCCTTTGTGTTTTTGAAACCCCCAGGAAACAAAGCTGAAAAAAATGCTCTTTCCCCACTTTCACCAGCTCCCCACCAGGTGGGGCACATGTCTTCATTTTACACCAGACTCCTTAAAGCCCACTCAGGCCAGACAGACCTCACCTCAAACAGGACAGGATGGGTTAAGGCCCTACATGCCAGAGTGGAATCCCCCCTACATGATGTAGCCCTTCCTTAGAGGATGGTCACTGAATTCTTAGGATCCTGTTCTGAAAACTACCCCATTCTCTGCGGCCAGGTACACCACACCTTTCCTGTAACACATCCCAAGATGACTGTGGTATGTCAACAGCCTTGTGTTTAACACACATGTGAACATGCCCCTGTCAGATGAACCTCACTCACAGGAGAGGGTAGTGTTTCCTGGACTCTTGTCCACGAGCCTGCCCTGTGACTCCAGAACCTGGACATAAAGGAACAGGGGCGGGGCAGATGGGAGGAGCTAAAAGAGAAAAGTGGGGTTTTTTGTAGTTGTTTTGTTCTATGAGGGAGGGCAAGCACACATTGGAGACACAGGACACTTGGGGAGATCTGAGGACAGGTTTCTGAAATCATTTCTACACTTCCCCTTGGTGGAAACAGCTTCTTTCTTGGTTCTGGCACACCCTGGGCTAGCTAGCTCACAGCTTCTGGCCAAGTGGCCTCTCTGCATTGGTTGCCTCACTGTGTGTAATGCTGAGATCACAGAAGCAGGCCAATATCTCCTGCTTCTCAAGCAGGTTCTGGGCCTCACAGTCAAGTCCCCACCTTTGGGCAGCAGGTGCTTTGACCTGACAGTCATTGTTGCCAGCCCAGGACTTAAGAATGAGCAGGATGAGAGAGTCTCATGAGATAGCTTCCTGAGACGTGTTCTCATTTCTTGCTTGAATAAATTGTCCTGATGAGTCGGCTTCACTCTCTCAGATGAAAATGTGCATTTTGAGTTTCTGCCTCTGCCTTCCTGCAGCCCCTTGTCGGCTGCTGCTGCCCACACCCTGTCCACCAGGCTGCTGTGGTCTCTTCACCACAATGGGGAAAAGTGGCAGAGTTTCCCTTTGTGGGGGAAATCTACGTCCAAGTTCAATCTCCCTCAGTTGAGTGCTCTGCAGACCAGCAGCCATCACATCTCTTCATGTCTATCACACAGCCCCTCCCCTCCCCTCCTCAATCTTTCTGGGCTGACGTCAGGCTCCTCTCTTGTTTGGCCTGTGACACATTTTAGTGTCTATCTCATGGCCCCGCCTCACCTCTGGGCATTTGGGTATTTGTTCATATCTGCCAACTGGTTAGTTGCTCAGTGGAATATAATGTCCTCTGTTGTCGGTCTGATTTCTCAGAAACTGATTCAGAAACTTCCCTACTAATGATGCTGAGGTTGGCTATGACAGACACATTGTACACATGCAAGTGACACTGAGACCCAAGTAGGTTCAAGTTGAAATCCTTCAAGACAGAGCAGATACCCCACTCAGTCTTTCCTTCACGACAGAGCAGATACCCCACTCAGTCTTTTCTTTGAGTCTTTTCTATTTCCTTGGGGGGGGGTATTTTTGTTCTGTAAAAACATGAACTGAGGCATAGAAGTACAATTCTCTCTGTTGGCTTTGCAGAGACTTCCAGCAATAATTACCAGTTTGTGTCCAAAGCATGCGGTCAACAACATCATATGTGGGGATCCAGGAAAGGAAGCTGGTTGATTTTTTTGCAGATGACCCCCTCCCCCCAATACCCAATGGCTAATAAATCCAAGAGAAGACACATAAAAGGAGCCATTTGGGCATATTTAGCTATAAGGT